GGGTGTTGAAGGCGAAGAGAAGGAACAGGATCTTCAGTGACCGAGCTTGGGTTTTGGCGTTCATGGCGGATTGAAATTGAAATGGGGTTTAAAGGGTGTGCACAGAAATTGAATCGGAACTCAAAAGTAAGTTTAAGTGAACTGTATTTGATTTCTTGGGTTGGATTCAAAAGCTTTTGTGATTGTGATTCAGTAGCGCCATGGCCATGGCTTGGGTTTCACTCAATCTCGGTGTGGTCTGTTCATGGATTCTCAGAGAGAGAAAACATGAATTGTTTATTCTGATAGACAAAACAAAGAGAAGAAATTGGGAAGAGAAATTTTCCCTCTCTAACTCCTTCTCTATCTTATCTCTCTAACAAAGAAGAAGATATTTTTAGTTTTGGAATTAGAATGTAGTTATTAACTTATTAGATGATAAATATGATCTTTGGAAAATTATAAATATATATATATATATATATTACTTTTTTCTTGTAGAAATATATTCTTTTATGAATTTGTTATAGAAATGTTTCAAGATGGCATAAATTTAATAGGTGTATTTTAAAATTTTGTATTATTAGGGTGATTTTTTTGTCCATTATGTTTTATATCATATTTAAATTTGAATTTGATTTGGACGAGGTTGAAATATTATTTTGGTCTTTCTATCAACTGTACTTTCAAAATGATCATCTTTGTGTTTATACTTTCAACTTTTGTTCATTTTAATGTATATACTTTCAAAATGTTCGTAAGTGATATTTTTGTCCCTATTTTCAAAATCTTAACACAAATTAGTATAAACTATTTAATATAAAGTTAAGATTACATTGCAATAAATATATGGAGTGTAGCATCCCGTTGAAATAAAATAAATTAGATTAAAATAATATTAATATTTTAAAATGGTCATTCTTTAAAAGTAAATTGACCCAAACAAATATTTTGAAAATAGAAGACTAAAATGAATAAAATTAAAAGTGCAAGATAAAATGGTATTTTAACTTTTTAGTTATTATTATTATATTTTTTTTGGGGTAAAATTTTAAACTTTCTGCTAATATATTTATTTTATATTATTTATGTAAATGATTTTGTAAAACAAAAAGTTAGAGGGAAAATTTTATAAGGGTGTGTGTGACGAGAATTTCAATTTTTTATTCTCTCTGTTCTTTTTTTTTTTCAAACATATTT